AAAATCGTTTGAAAACGGACATCAGCCCAGAAAGCGATTTTCCCCGTCTTTGTTCCTAATCGGGTGCGCTGACTCCTGAAATCAATTGGGCTGAGACAGCCTGTGGGCCCAATGATTCGGGGCGCTAATTAAGTGTGCCAAGGGGTCCCTCCTACACATTCCTTGAGAGAAAATCACACTTTTTTGAAATCTAGGATGGTACAAAATCGTTTGAAAACGGACATCAGCCCAGAAAGCGATTTTCCCCGTCTTTGTTCTTTATCGGGTGCACTGACTCCTGAAATCAATATTATATCACCAACCGGAAACACAGACCGGGAATATGTACGAAAAAATACTGAGCCTTCGTGCAAAATGGATGAGGGCGCTTGCACAGACAATGATGGCCCCAAAATAATGCCTTCGCCAACCGAATCGCAATTTGTATACTGTCAATTTCTCTTCTATTAAGTTGGTGGCAGATGAACTCGGTGGTTTGTAACGAAGCATGGAATTTAATAGCAGAAATATGAAAGAGTGCTGGAATCTATTAGAAAGTGTGAAACACGAAAACGCAAAAATCGAAATCGCTCCCTAATATTGTAGCGCCGGCAGGTCCGGCCGGTGGGGGCGCCAGCTCGGACCCACATGGAGGCCCCTCCCCCGCTGGTTAGTCTTGGCGTAAGACGTCAGTGATCGATAGTTGTTTTATTTCTGTTAAAGAGCGCCCTTGCACACCTAGATTTTACTTACTCTCACTAACGTCTTGGGAATCTTGCAGGAATGGGGGTGTGGCAGTTGTATGCAAATGTCCGATCTTCTTAAATATTATAATTTATACAATTATGTACATGTACTTCGAAGTTCGAACAACATGGCGGCTTCATGCGAGCAAGTACGATGTCGATAGTGTCTGGTTTATGGGAAGGGATTAGTGACATGTGAGACATATTTTTCACTCCATACTAGACATGAAATTTCCACTCTTCTAAAAGATATCGTTAGGGACTACAGTTGTGCTACATCGCATCACGTTTGCGATGTTTGTGGCAGAAAAATTGGGGAAAAAATCGTTGTCTGATATCACACAATAAATACGTTCTCGTTTTTTGCAACTCACAATGAGCATGCTGGGCCTGATGAGACCAAATTACGAACACAAGCGACACCTAACCCTACACGTGCAGCAAGAAAAAGACAACCAACTTGCAGTCCGGGTACTCCGTCCTTGAAGGTTAAGGTCTATAGGGACGCTTTAGTTAGCTGGGGAGGGAATACTGACTGTTCATGATTATGGGTCACCAAGAACAGCATCCTCTGTCATATCCTAGGCCAAACCTAGTCTGAGTGTCACCCGTTCTACTCCGTGCTAACTCTGTACGAACGTCTGTGTTGTCATGTCTGTGTTGACGGGACCGTTGCAGACAGCCATGATGCATGTGACCATACCACGGTGTATTGTTGAGGTCATCAAAATTTATTACGCATGCAATTTAGCGAGTGCTGATTGCTTCCCTTGGAAAGCCGAAGGAAAAATAAAGAACCAGTTAAAACGCTGCTGCAAGATTCCCAATACGTTAGTGCGAGATGGCGTACAGTCTAATTGTGAGTCGTCAGGGGGCGCACTATGCACGGTGTCCGCCATCAAGCACTAACGTCTTGAAACCAAGACTACCCGTTGGTATGAAAACGGCCCGCGGCTTTCCCGCCTCTCGCATGCGCAGTTCCCGCTTAGAGCCTCGTATCTAGAGTTTGGTGTGAAAAACAGTATTGTGATGTCGAAAGAAATAAATCAGGGGTTTCTTGCCCGGAAGGGCGATTAAGTTGTGGCTGACTGTATGTATCCGTGAAAACGTCAGAGACCAATCAGTAGGGCACGCTACAATATTGATGCAACGCACCCGGGAACAAAAACGGGGAAAATCGGTTTCTTGGCTGATGTTTGTTTTTAAACGATTTTGTACCATCCTAGATTCGACCCACAGGCTGTCTCATTCGGGGCGCTAATTAAGTGTGCCCAGGGGTCCCCCTACATACCCCTTAAGAGAAAATCACACTTTTTTGAAATTTAGGATGGTACAAAATCGTTTGAAAACGGACATCAGCCCAGAAACCGATTTTCCCGTTTTGGTTCCTAACCTGGTGCGTTGACTCCTGAAATCAATTGGGCCAAGACAGCGTGTAGGCCGAATCATTCGACTGAAAACGTACATCAGCCCAGTGTTTTGTTCCGAATCTTTTGATCTTTTTCAGAAATTATCATTGAAGAAGCTGTTAGTCGCCGTTTTGAGAATTGATACCTATGCATACACGTATTTGCTAAAATAGGCCTAGAGCGATTTTTATTTTCGCATTTTCTTGTCTCATACTTTCTACTATAGATTCCAGCACTCTTTTGAATCTTAGCTTTTAAATGCACGCTTCTTCTTTACAAACCACTCAGTTCACGTGCTACGAAATTCCTTAAGAGAAAATGAATTGATAGTGTAGCAGCGTGAATTTGTTATAGCGCCCTCTTTGGGTAATGTTGTGTGATCAACACTCGCGTTCCAGAAACGTCTTCCCTCGTGATGTAAGAAGACGGTTGAACCACAATACCGGCAGTTTTGTTAGCTAAGTAAACCCTAGGAATGCAACAGTTGGTAAGAACAGAGAATTATCTCATGTTAGAAATCACCGAATAATATTAAATTAGTGTTAATTAAAGGTTGGTTAGGGGACTACAGGAACGGGTTGTAACATTTGTAAAATCATAGAGGGTTATTGCTGGTTCTGTTTAATATAAGTCTACTAGATGGAGTCACATGTACAATTGTATACTTGTATTAATGGTGATTTGGGTTCCACACGTGGCAAGTACACCAGGTACATAAGTAAATTCATTCTACTCATATTATAGTTAGTAATTTTCTTTATTTAATCACGTAAGCAGGTGCTAATTAGGGTTGATGCACATGTACATGTATATTATATGAGGTTTACACGTATTCGTTGTCAATTAATTGCAGCGAACCACTGACTCTGGACTTGTATCAAGGGCTGCCGTTAAGGAGTATTAAACATTCAAGTTCTTCTGTGCTTCAAAACAAGCTGTTTCCAAGGAGTCCTTTGTCAGGGTGTTCCAACTTGCATTATTTCTTATGTAACTTAAAAGGTTACAGACAGTTTACACATTGTGTACACATATTTTGGGTCATCACTGGCATTAAATTATTGTCTATACTATAGCGCCCTCTTTCATTTTGCACGAAGGCTTAGTGTTTTGTTCCGGTCTGTGTTTCCTGCTGGTGAAATAGAAAAAAACTCGATTCGCAATTGTTCACGTTGTTTCATGTCTAAGATACATTCCAACCAACGAAGGATTTATTTAAAAATTGATTTTTTTGTGTGTGGATGTTTGACGGCTCTTGCTGCTATGCTGTGATCGGCCTCCGTAGAATTTCTTGCCGGTTACGTGAACGATTACTTGAAGCCGTAAAAATAGCGTCCAGCCGAAAATCCGGCCCGAATTTCGTGCCAATTTCAGCCTGGTCGCCGGCCGGCCCAAGTCTACAAAAGTCGCCAGTTAGTGGTCTCCGCATCCAGTACTTCGAGGACTCACGTCTGAATCACGTTCATAGTGCCCAACGAGCACTGCTGAAAGTTGTTTGTAATATTAACATTCATCACACTCGACTCATCGGCCAACATCAGGTACGATGCGTTGCGCCCGCACACTGCGCTTGGAAACTGTGCGGCACGGAATTACCTTTGGCCCTCTCGCTTTTGAAAAAGGAAATTATTTGGATCCCAAAATGGTGATATTGTGCGAATATTTGCCAGGATCAAAGCCCCAGTTCTTTAGGCTTCCATCTGAAATAAGGTTGAAAAATGGTAGTGGCGTATACAGCGGAGGGGCAGGCAACAACTTTGCCTCCACCTGACGTTTTTTTGTTTTGATTTTTTGTTTTTTAAAAAGGATACTTCATTGGCGAGTAGGAAAGAAAGTAATTGGTATATTTACCAAAACCCAAACAAGAGAACACAGGAAATACAAGCAAAGATGTCGGAACCGTGGGTAGTAACGCTTACGATTTTTCTCTGCAACATCATCATGTTGAACGAGTCCGAATCTTGAATCCCCCACACACCAAAAGCTAGATACGCCACTCCTATAAGTGCCCGAGGAAATTGAGGGTTGCCTCTTTTTAAAGTTGAAACTGGCTGCAAGCAGACTTCTAAAAAATCACTGTTTTCTGGGAATAATAACAAACGTAATCTGTTAACCCAAAAATATGAAAAGAAATTGAAAATTTAGGGACCAGAAAATGATTTAAATTTTGTTTCAGAATCTTCAGGGATGTTGGCATGCATGTTATTGGGCTCAGAAAAATGTTGATTTTACACTATTTTCAATAAGGCTCGAACTTGAATTAATGGACTGCAGTGCACCCATAAACACAGACGGCCGGTTGTGATAACGCCCTCTAGCTCACGCAAGCTGTACAAGTAAGGTCAAAATGCATGTGGATTCACAAAATCTTGAACTAAGACTATCCGATATACCTAACAGTCTACGTGTTCGCAGTGTCGAGCGTCACCGCGTGGATATGCCTGCATGTCCAGATCTTTGCCACCAAGTTGTGAAAAAATTCATTTAGACGATCCGCGGGGACGATGTTGACGTGATGTAAGTAATTTTCTAGGACATTCCCGTCCGAATTTACTGGCTGCCGATACTTTACGTCTATAGGAGAGTAGCATAACTGCGACCGGCCGTTTGCTGCTACTAAATGTGCTACTGCAGCCGTTGGCCAGCCCGTGCGGGTTAAGTGGACCAGGCTCTCTCAGGACACGGGATCTCTTTGTACCGTTGTGCAGTTGTGAACGATTGCCCTTCACAAGAAGAGATGATACGGGCTTGCAGGTTCCATGTTCACTGTCACTTTATTGAGTATGGACCGGTGACATAAGTCGTACAAAACGCTGGCCTAGCTTATTCTGTTGAGTCATAGATATAGGTATTCCGGGGGTATCCAGGATTTTCAGAAGAGGAGTGCAAACTGTGAGGGTCAAATGCATGGTCAAATGAGAACGCGTAGCGCAGTCCTTCGTCATACGTACTCACTAGCATTGGCGCGGCGGAGTCATGTTTGGATGACACTGCACTTTACGTGTACAGTTTCCTATGGTGCTCAGTGAACCGTGGGCCCTACTGACTCAATAGGAGAGTAAACATCATGTAAACAAAGAGTGCCTGTCAGCAATACATCGACCAGTTTAAAATCCATGGAGGACCTCCATGATCAGATCATGAAGGAAGGACACTATACCCAGCAAGAAATGAGACCGAGGGGTACCCCCCTAACATGTCCAATCCATATACACATTCCAGACTATTGTTACTTAACACACCCTCCAAGATGTCTGAAAGGAATACCCCAGATTCCTGCGAGACAATGACCAACACAAAGCAGGCGGGGGGGGGGGGGTTCTTTCCGTCCATACCTTGCTGCATATTTAGGACACAAAAGGAATTGTAACTCGGGCCCTTCAAANACCCTCCAAGATGTCTGAAAGGAATACCCCAGATTCCTGCGAGACAATGACCAACACAAAGCAGGCGGGGGGGGGGGGGTTCTCTCCGTCTCATACCTTGCTGCATATGTAGGACACAAAAGGAATTGTAACTCGGGCACTTCAAAGCGTCAAATGATAGTCGCCGCCGCGTCTGACGAATAATAGAAAACATTCCAAAAATGGCTTATTGTTGCCTGATCTTAGCCAGACAAGCGGGGCCAGTAATATCCTGGCAATACTTGTAATTTTTTGTTTGCAATTAAATACAAACTATCAATGTGACCATGAAATAGAGAGAGAAAAATTCCTGATATTAGACCTACTTTTGCCATCATAAATAAACTTTTTAAATTTTGACACACTGTTTCATTATCCATGCAAAGTTTGTAATTCTAGTCTCCTCCGTCCAATGCATCATTGTTCAAAGACTAGGTACGAATTTGGCTAAGACTGGCCATCAAAATCTTCAATACTTCTGGAAAGCTCAGTTCATTAGGAACAAAATGCGCTATTTCATCACAGGGAGTGATCGTGAAATCTCCTAAAATACGCCTTTGTACAAATGCCATAATAAAAATGATTCAAACAAAACACAAAATCTTACAAACAGCTTGGCTATTTATTCCAAAAAGAAGTCCAGAAGAAAGCGTTCGATAAGGGCAACAACTGCACATGAACACTTCGGGTACACAGCTAGTAAGAGCAACTACGCAAGCACTAAATTTGATGTTGTTGTCGGATCATATCAAGCACCAACGATGGCATGAATATTCAACTTCCTATACTGCAGTACACAACGTTTTAGGGATGCAGATTACCAACGAAAAATTGCGGCGACGATCGTAGGGTACAAAGAGGTTGGTTGCAAACAGGTGGTGAGTAGCAGGCGTGCGGTGCGCTCTGGCTATGGCTATACCGGGTATGCCAGAAAGCAGTATTTGGCTAGATGTTGTAGCCCGGGCAGTTCAAACTCCTTCTGTGTCCTTCCTCCATGATCAGGTTTAGCATGGAGGAAGGAACACAGCGAAAACCAGTGGCCACACGATTACCGCGTGACTGCCGATTGGCGCACTGGAGTCAACTTGCGAGAACTATTACAATGTATACACTAGTGAATTTGCATTAGCCACCAACCAAATTTTACACTTAATAGCCTACAGCATATATTTCAACACATTTCCGAAAGTTTCTATAAGTTGGTAAAAACTGCCGTAAAAATGTATCAATTTGTGGGACAGGTCGAGCTCTGTGCTTAATAATGGATAATTCCAGAAATAAGGGGTCCAAAAGTGTGACATTTTTGTGTCCCTATTACATCTGACCTTTGTTATTTGACATGGGAATATCACCAGAATCGATTTCAAACTATTACTATTTGTTTGGCAGGTATTTTGCATTAATTCATCTCTCTTGGAAATTGGAAAATGTGTTCTGAACTTACAAGTTCAAAATCTCCATAATTGCTCAATTTGTCAGCTATGTTACGCTCAATGTATACAGCTATTTTTTATTTTACTGTGCACTGTATACGCACCAGCAAATGATGCATAAATTATTTTCACGAAAAGCATACGAACATGAACATATAAAATTAAATGCATGAGTACCAGTCGATTACGGGGCACAACACGGCGCAATCACTTTTCTATTATGACGTTTCAATTAACTTACAAAAAAGAGGGATTATTCACAGTCAACAATAACTCGAAGCTCGAAGTCTGTTTGGTAAAAAAAAAAAAAAAGCTACTGGCTCCTATACCCGAACGCCAATCAGTCTTTTCAGTTATGATACGGTGACTTGTGGTTTTTCAATCTGAACAAAGGTCAGGGTACACCTCACGTATGTTTAACTCCCATTCGACGTGTGGAAAGAACGACTTCAATAGTGCACAGCGGTTGACCCATAGATGCTTGACCGGACCCTCGTGAATTACCATACGGAATTGCCCTTACCAACTTGCCATTGCTCTGTTGAGCCTTCTCGTTTTGATAAGCGATCGCATTGAAACTCTTTGTATGTGCTTTAGAAGGTTTAAACCGAATAAAACACCACTGAATCATGAAAAGAAATGCTACATAAATATGAAATTTAGCCTCAAAGTGGTTGCTAAGATGATAAATTATCCATTTTCAATCGACCTCTTGGTCTTTTTTTTTCAATAAATTTCTCAATTTTAGAAGTTTTCCCAGAACAGTGAGACACTGCATAAGACAGGCTAGAATCTCAACTACACAATACAATCAGTTCTATCTAGTTATATTTTTGTTCAACTTTCGCGAGTACATGTTTATATGCACAAAACTGATCCGGCCACCTACCGTGCACGGTATACATGTACATGTACATGTACACTGCGGCCTGTTACACGCTTACCGCGGCGTACATGCACATGTATATGGAAATTCTGTATGGTCGGAACCAGTGTGGGCCTACATGTTCATGTTGTTCATGCACGTATAGTACATGTAAAACTGGGGATGTATACTGGGAATTTCAACATTTCTGGGCAATATTATAATGACAGTTAGACCTTGATTTCAATAATAAATTTCATGTTACCTTAGTGTAATTTTGTGTTCGTTTTTCGTTCCCAAGTCACTGAATTAAGGCCGTAAACGAAATCGGGGCCGAGTTAAGTCGATATGCAAATGCGTCTGGTCGGGAAGGGAAACAAATCTCGCAGAAAACCGTCAGCAAATCTAAAACCTCACCTTTCTCCACCACAGCCCACTTTTGAAAACTTGAGGAAAACTTCGAATTCTTTGTTTCGAGCCTTCAAAAATCGTATCAAAACCTAAATAAACTACCGCTTACGAAAAGAGCTTTTCACAATAATCACAAGTTTGGACCACTCTTGTACTATTTCTTATTTTTTTCACAAAACACATTAGAAAAATGTCTTTTATTACCATGAAAATATGTTGGGCAGGAATTTTTATTTCTAAAAAGTGAAAATTTCATGAAATGAAGCAGCTGCTTGCCTGGCGCGAATTCTCATGGCCCTCATTACGCGTGAAAATGACCCTAAAAATGGGACATGCGCAGTTAATAATTTCCCTCTGAAACATACGTAACTTGGATTAAACGTTCATTCTTGAACTTTGTCTTCTTATCAAGCAAGCAATCATCCCGACACCCCCACAGTGATTCGGTTATTTGAAAACATAGGCTGTTATGTCAGGTATTACAATGTCAATTCCCCCTTAAACCTTGGTGTTGGTCGAGCCGAGGATAACCATAACTGAGAACTGGACATGGCTTCAAAGTTTGGGGAGAAATCCCCTCATGGCATAATCGACGGGGATCACAGAATGAGCAGATCAGACCGTTGGCGCCAGTTTATCAAAATTGTGAGAAGAACGAAAGTGGTTTCATTTGATAGCTGGAATGTAGGTCATGGAAATGTAACTGGAGCGATTGTAACCGAGGGGGAAACTAATAACAAAAAGGAACAGGAGTGTGGCGGCACAATAATCCTGGCACAGATATATGTATATTATTTTATTTCTGTCACAACGAGTATGAGATGTTACATGTATAAGATTGAATTATTTTTACCGGGAAAGTATTTCTAGTAAATAAAAAAACGACAGTCAATACTACATGTAGGTGATCTGCAAGACATCTGCAAAAGATAATACAAGAAGTTTCATAAATACATGTACAATTCTTCCTTCAACCTACATTGTATATAACATGTTTACAGGATGAAACCAATTCTTTTACAAATATTAAGGACACTGAAGTACACGCACATATTACAACATGTAATGTGCAGTTTTCGCTAATGGTTTCACCAGATTCACGCATGGTATATGAATAATTTAGAAAACAACCCAACTAATGAACATGAAGGATGTGGGACACATACTCCCAGTATTATTTAGTTTTATAAGAACCTACTGACTACAAAGCTGAGGCTGACAAATGCCAACAGCTACCAGCTGCCAGTCTGTGTACCATAAACTGCAAATGTCAAGATTCTGTAAGATAAAAAAAAAGGAAATTTTGTATTATACGCATGTACAGTGTATAGTGTTATGTACATATCACTTCTTTATTCTTCTAGATCAATTTATCTAGAGACATATACCCGTGGCCGTAATTTGCTCAAAAATATACATGTAACTGCCACATCGTTAGCGTTCCTAGGAACTTATTTAATCAAAGAAAATGTGCATATTATAACTGAATTTTTTTAGATACATATTTTACACAACTAATACTTTTTATGCACTCCAGTTACAAGAATGGAGTGTTCATATGAACAGGGCAACAGATAACCCCAGCCTCGAGCTTGATATGTGTCTGATATGCTGATATATGCATCTTAACTTCTCCGTGTATCTTCAGCTTTTTTTCTCTCTCAATGAATTAAAACACATTGCAAAAGAGTCAAGACAGTGTATACGACGTGTACATGTAACGAGGAAGACTATTGCCCAACTCACTAATGATCAAACTATCTCCAAATACACCCGATGTTCATGCCATATGCGAATAAGGTTTTAAGTATAGAACGGTTGTAATACGTTACATGTATCACACAATCTGTTAATTAATATAATGAAAGTTCTAACTTACCATGCAGCTGATCACGATTTGCCAATCAACACAGTAATGGCCGTACAAGTTAGTACCCCATATAGCTTATGCAATGTACATGTATGAGAGCTGGAGTACTAAAGACTGAATTGGCAAATAATGCCTGCTCTAGGACGCTCTGCAGCAGAGTGACTCAGTTTTAAATATGTCCAGTAGTCACCCCATGCCCAACAAAAGAGGGTGGTGCAGTACCAAGCTGCACATTTTGGTTGAATGCAGGGCAGAGACAAAAGTTTATTCAGATCGCCAGCATGGGTTCATGCACAGCTGCATAACTTGCTACTGCACACAACTGTCAAGAGAGTATGAGAATAATGCTATGGCGGAGGGCGCTCTATTCAGCGTTGCTACAAGGTTTCATTCAGGACATGTTTAATGAGTTACATTTGCAAGACAGTGAAGAAACCAGGTGACTCATGGTTGACCGCTCATGCTCAATATGTGAGAGAAAAGAGAATGTCACAGGGAAGTGGAGGGACCCGGTGATCTAAGTGGGTCGACTGGTCACATGATTTTAATCATTAATTAATTTAGGAGCTGTGCAAAGAGCGGAGAGGAGGGGGGCCTCAACCGTTCTCCTTTGCCTTTTTCCCCAGTACTGTTGCTACGCAGTGAAAATGAAAATGTTACTTAAGAGTAATATTAGATCAGATTCATTACCTTAAGAGCAGCACCCCATCAACACATTACCCCCTTTACGGTTAGAATATATATCCACTTTTTAATCCTTGCCAGGTGTTCATGATACTCCGGCTGATGTCTTAACGTTTATTTTAAATGTAGTGTCATGAAACCAAAGGGCACACCTTTCTCGCACAGTGTTTCTTTTTCTAAACCAACTAGGCCTGTATTTTTTCAGTCATCTGTTTTTAGTATCGGTTGCTCATAAAGCGAAATCAGATAATTTTTTAATATTTGCTGTTGATAAAAAAGGAAGATTCAATTTAAAACGAATTTACGTGGTCGCAGACAAAAACGAAAGATATTTTAATGAAATCGGTCGGAAAACGTAAACGTTTAACGCATTGTTTCCTGAATTATGATAATTCGGATAGACGGAAAATATTTATAAGTGAAAAATGAGATTATACTGATTATAATTGCTCGACTGTCTCTGTCGTAATTCTTTATAAATAGAGGGGAGATAGCTGTCTTCAACATACTTACTCAAGATCTGACTAAGTTGGCATGATTTTTGAAAATAAGCAGAGAAAAATGGTTGATGTACGTGTCTTTATTTCTTAGGTTTTGGTCACATCATCGGGAAAAATGTCTAGAAACGAAGGCCCGGAATCTCGGATTTCCTTACGAAAGCCAGTGATCACTCCAATGGATTCGCCGGTCGAGGGTAGGCCGGAGCCCACCGGCCGCGAGCGTGCGCGGTCCAGATGGGTAACAGTAGAACCCGTCATTGTCATGGCAATGGTAGGTTACTTGTGTACAGTCTTGGTAAAGCCGTTCTACGTGAAAGACACGATCAGCCACCACTATAACTACTCCGAGACAAAGAACGACACCCCGTGTGGGGGCCAAGACCCTGGAAATGACACCATCGACAACAAAATACAATCGGAATCTTCCATGTGGTTGCTTTACCTTGGCGTCGCCTCGGGAGTCCCTGCCATGATGAGTTCGATCGTCTTCTGTACCATCAGCGACAGACTCGGCAGAAAACTGGCCATGGCTCTCCCGGTCATCGGCTTCGCCTTTCAGGCCGTCGTGTACGTTGTTACAGTTCACTTTAAGCTCCCGCTGGCCGTCCTCTTGGCGGGCGAGTTCGTCCAAGGTCTGACGGGAGGGTTTGGCCTACTCTTCGCTGCCTGCATCTCGTACATAACCGACGCCACCACGGAGAAACAGAGGACTTTGAGAATCGTCATCGCCGAGATGCTGACGTTTTTAGTTTCAGGTCTGAACCAAGTGGCACAAGGTTATCTCCTAACATTTGGTTACCTCCCGTCATTGGCCATAGCGTTCGGGTGTAATGTCATTGCATTGCTTTACATCGTAATCCCGCTGTTTCTGATAGAAACAGTTGACGGCCAAAGATCCGACAGTAAGGGGCTCCTCGATGTTTGGCGGAGTATGAAGAGGCTCTTGGAATTCAATGAGAATGGTCGCCGTTGGCAGATGCTTCTCCTGGATTTCTTCATCTTCTTTGTAATAAGTCAATTTGTGGCTTATTCGTCGATTTTTGTGCTGTATGGTACTGCCGAGCCATTTTGTTGGACTTCCTTTACAGCTGGCATAGCATCTGCGCTTGGATTTGTTCTGTCATCATTTGGTGAGCATAATGAGCACGTCCACAAGATTTTTGGTTCAGAAAAGATTTATCCATACTTCAAAGCATAAGTCACCCTCTTATCCAACCCCTCATAATAATGCAAAATAATTTATAAACTATTGTGCTTCAAATAATGAGATACATCCTGGCGTATTGCCAAATATTCGGCTTCAGTAGGCCTATACAAAGAAATTTGAAAGGAAAGTTGTTGCTAAGGGCATTCATGTTTGCATTTTACGCTTTTGCACGCAGGCCTTCCGTGCAGATCTTATGAAACATTCAGGCAATAATCTTCGTCGTATGCCATTCCTCGACAGGAATGCTGATCGGTACCAAGGTCTTATCATACTGTCTGGGAGAATACTGGTTGATGCAGATCAGCTGCCTGAGCATGCTCGCTGCTTTCACTGCCACGGCTCTGGCGCAGTCCACTCTAGTCATCTATATTGGTAAGTTCAAAGGGTGTGAGTTCTGTCTGGGAACGATTAAGCAAATTACTCAAAAAGAAAAAAATACACTTTAATAGTGTGTTGGAATGTCGAAACAGGTAAGCAAATAGCGAAAATACGCCTATACATCCCCCAAAAGAGCCTCATTTTGGAATTGTTGGTTGACCTCACGCAGTCCAAAGTAATTGCCCTGAATCAACCAGAATGGTTTTATTTTTATACAAGGGCTGTTGGAGAGACATGTTGAAAAATGCATAAGGTGTACTGTCAACTCCTCGACTAAAGTGTGAAGCTGAGGATGCCGACCAAAACACGTCAAAAACGCAAAAGTTGGATGGATATTTACAGTTTGGACTCTTGTGAAATTTTCAGTTTTCTGTATGGAGTAGTAGCTGCCTATCTTTGTTGTTCATGCGCAATTCATGTATTGTTAGTGGTCCCTATTTTATAGAGGTTGAATTCCATGTAATTTGTAAAACAGTATCATTGGAATTTCCTTTTAACTTTAAACGTCAGTTGGCGGGGTTGGGGTACCAACGAGTCCAAGCCCCCCACGAAGATTTATGTTTCTGTACACCAGTAGTAAGAGACCGACAATGGGGTAGGTGGTGGTAGCCTTTGATCAAGACGCCCGCAGCGAAATGGATAGTCGTTCAGGAGCGAGGAGCTGGAGGAGACTAGTTTAAGCATCAAACCAACGCCCGAATAAAGACTCCACGACGAACAGTACGCACGCGCGCCCGAAATTAACCATGCATGCCCGTGCAGTAGCCGAGCTGAGGGTGTCGTGGATTGTGCGCGCCGAGAGCGACTATCCATTTCGCCGCAGGCGCCTTGATCAAAGTCTGGGGGAGGGGGCTGTTTCATTCCCCTTCCTCCGCAAAGCGAGTCGATCAAGCCCCTTTTAATACTCTTGCGAGCAGCCACGCCCAAAACGGAACACTGTAACTCCCAGTGGTGAATGTTTGTCACCGGGTCAGTTCCCAGTCATGCCTGAACCTGTACGACTGTTTTATGGTAGCAAAATAATACGTCCCCAGGTTCCCTCTCTGAACACATTTTCATTATGCTGCTGTGGAAGTACAGTACTACTAGTTACAACCCAAACAGCCGTGACCAGTCAGCAAATGTCTGTAAATAAAGAGATGCACTTGCTGATAGCGATGTTATGGGTCCCTTGGGGATACTGATCTTTCAACAGGCCGTACTCAGCAGCGGTAAAAGGTAGGTTAAAGGGACTTGGCAGCCTTGAAGCACTTGGAAGCCCAAGGATGACATGAAATTTGAGCTTAATTCAACAAAAAATTAAAAAGTTATTCAAAAATTAGGGAAATGTGGTGACTCGCGCGCACCTTTTTGTTCAGAAGGGTAATATTACTGTAGCCTCACCCCTTACAAAGGTAAAAAAAGACTACATTAAAAAAGTCCCCACATTTTCCTCCCCCAAGAACCCCCTCCCGAAAATTTGGATTAGGCCCAGGGTCCACCCTTGATAAACGTCCAATAACAATTCATTTGCATGCAATTTGAAAAGTTTTTGTAATCGTGGTATTTTCGGTAATCTTGGTAAAGATTTTAAAGACAAGTTGCCCAAGTTAAGAGAACGATCTATAGTAATCTACTTTAATTTCACATAATAATGCACTGTTTTCACCTCTCAGGCACAGCTTTGGGCTCACTTCGGGCGATGTCCATTCCCGTTGCCCGAGGAATCCTCTCCAAAATCACACAACCAGACGAAATAGGTAATGGCGAGAGATGAGCACAGACTACACTGTTTCCTTCAATCATTGGAGTGAAACCCTGTCACCAGTCTGCTGAAATTTAGTTTGTTTTCTTTCAGTCCTTTCATTTTCATGGCCCTTTCGCCATTAATGGTCTCTGGTAGTTTGCTGCGAGAAGGCATGTGTTAACTGGGCCTTTTGGCCTAATTCATTCAAGCACAACTGCTTGTTGAAGAGAGCGTGCAGAGGAAATTGTATTATCTGATTTTTGTTTCAGAGATTTGAAGCTGAAGACAGCCATTTTTACTATAATGAAATTTTCGCTCGTAGCTAGTTTGTATTTACCAAAATTGCCATCGGCCAAGAAATTTCGCGCGAATTCGTCCGGTGGTGTCGGTATTAAAGACTGCTTGTGAGTGGAGTGGTTGGAATAATTTAGAGGAATAACAGATGGATTGTTGCTTTTAGGTGTCAACGAATGCAAACGTTACCATTGCACCCATGAACGTTTGTATTTGTTTTTACACCACCTGACTCGATCCTTTAAATATGCTTGCTCCACCTGATATGGCGTCGCCAGGATTTTTTCCAAAGGGGGACAAACCATTTTTCCCCATCGGGTGGGCAATTTATGAGAATTGATAATGTATCACAAACCCATTAAAGGATAGAGGGGCGATATTTTAAATGCTTTTTTCCAACTTTATTAAAACCCCATTTTTTTAAGGGGCAAGTGCCTCTCGTGCCCTCCCCTTGTGACGCCCATGTCACCTGAATAAATCTATAGAGCTACAATCTGTGTGTGTAGCTCTATGGTGTTACCAGCGAGATCCGATATTTCATGCGATGTGACCTTGGATGGTCAGAACGCTGAATTTGATTCATTTACCCTTGGAATCAACCGTCTCTTTTTTAGTGATACGTCCGTGCCGTCCGTTTGGACAAATGAAGGTGCTTTGTACATTTTTGGGTACATTGCGTACACAATGCGTTCATGCGTTTCACTTTCACGGACACGAAAATTGACCCCAATAAGATAACACACGCATGCGCGGCGTTCGGCCGTGATGGAAACACTACGCTTTGATGCAAGTGTTGATGCGCATTATGGGAATGGGGCTTGACACCTTGACAACTACGGCCCATTATTCAACAGTGGCGTAGCCACGGGGAGGGGGGACACGTGCCCCCATAATTCCTGGTGCCCCCCATGGCCCTCCCCCACTAGAAAAACGGACGAATGGATAGTGAACATGGCTAACATATAACTTGCCCCCTAAAAACCCACACCACTGCAAGCTGGTACCCCCATAAGATGCTGGTGCCCCATCTGTTCCGCCCTACTTGTAAAATCCTAGGCGCGCCACTGTCATTCAGGAGACCGGAATTCAGTGGGTTGCTGTGTGGTCAGAATTGTCCCATCGAGATGTAGCAAGTCCGTTACTTGCCTTGTGACGCTGAGGGCCACAAGTTTATTAATACAAGGTAACTACTACGGGACGACATAGTTTTCAGATGCCTACAAAGACCTTTTTTTAACTTTGTTCATTTTTCAGGAGCCACTTTTTCAATCGTCGGTTGCCTAGAAAGCTTCTCCTCATTTATAGCTAACCTGGCAGCAACTAGTATATACGGATCAACGGTATCTTTCCTGCCTCCACTCACGTTCTACGTGTTCGCTGGTGCCACAATAATTCCCATGGTTACAGTGCTGTAAGCAAGTCGTTTTAAGTTTCCGTCAATATTCATGCCTCTTTACAGTCTAAATATGAGAGCTTTTTAGGGTTGCTTCTCTGTATCAAATGAAATTTGTTTTTGTTCTGTTTTTTGTTTGCTTTTTAAAACTTAATTTTATGTTTGTTTTGTTTAGTCGTGTGGATTTGGTTTGTTTTCGTTTGCTTGTTTGTTTTGCGTGATTTGTATTCTAATATTTGAATAAATAAAACGAAAGGGGTAAAGACCATATATTGATGGCTTAAATGTGTTCGGGATCGTGAGGTTTTGATTATAAAGGGGACACAAAGTATTGGTCGCTATTTACTTTTACTTGATCTCCTCATTCGAAATCTAACGGTATTTTAGATGGCTAGACGGTGCAAGTGTGCAGAATACCAAATATGCCTTTGCTTTAAGAACGCATTATGTGCTAAGTCCTCCACATGGCCACCATTCTGTCAATGCACATCTGACATCTTCGTAACATGTCCCTTACTGCTCGTCTGATCATTTCAAGGCCTTGATGGAGATTATTGACTTCTTCCACTATCCTTGCACGTTAACTCCTGAACATTAGCTGAGGGTGTAGTGAAAATTTGGTTTTGCAGGTAACGCCATAAAAAGAAATCGCCTTCACCCCACATACTGACTTTTGTTATCAATATGCAACTTCTCACAGTTCTTAAAGCAAAGGCATTTGGTATTCTGCACACTTGCATGGTCTAGCCTTGTTAATCACATATGCAAACTTGCCACAGTGCCGATTTCAGTACCATTAACACCGGTCTAGTTTGTTCACTCATCTGCGTCAATAACATCACAAGCTGTATACCATTGCAAAGAGGGCATTCTGCCCTTTCTACAGATGTATGTATTTCTCTTTCCCATGTGTAAAGTAGTTTTGCTATTACAGTATTTTTATCTCAGTATACTTTTTATGTGGACACCCTGTATGATTACTTGGAATAACGTGGTTTTCTATTGTCCCTTTTTGAAAGATTTCTACAGGTTTGCTGGCCGAGACGGAAAGAATACACCAGGCTGGAAGTTAACAGCTGTGAGAATTGACATGCAAAGTTGCTAAACATAAAGCTCTGATGTTAGAACGTTGTAATATTCAACCGTTGTGAAATTATAGATACAAAATATACAACAGTTTCCAGTGGAACATGTTTTGGAAGAAAATATCTACGATGTATTGTTTGCATTTTTCTGGTTTTACGGAGAGTGCTAACTTCTATTATAAGTCAGGTTTAACCAGATTTTCTATTTCTGTAACCACATAGAGGCGTTGTTGCACATCGCTGTCGAAAAGTAACAGTAATGTGTTTGATACGGCTTGTTTAAAAAGAATATGGAACAGGATGAAACTAAAAGTATTTATATTCATTATCACTAAATATCGTTTTGTATTGCACAATGTTTACTTGAATTATGTAATTTAAATTGGAGTGAAATGCTACTCGGTGTGTACATATACCTATAATACTTATAATATCCATGATATATTATTTTATTAGAGAATTCTCACGCTAGCAAGGCATGTTGAGGGGAATTAGTAGTGTGGAAATTATTTGTTGGCAATAGTTTCGGTATTTGTAGATAAAAATAACTGGAGATAAGAATACTATATAATTATAAACTCTGCATTATGTCTCGAATTAAGTCTGAAATATAAACCAGAACATTTTCCAGTCCAGGAATAAAAAGGAAGTGTTTCTTGTGTCGGATACGTTCAAACGCAGCACGAAAATAATAATTTTTTGTCACATAGGCCCATGCAGGCAGTATGGGCCATCATGAAAACGTTCCAAAGGGGGACAAAGTGAAAGCAACCCACAGACAGTGATGATGAGAGAAACAGAAACCTCGTAGACTTGACTGACGGTGCTGCATTAACCTTGTCGGTGCATCAGCACAGTAGAAACTGAGACTGACTGAATCTATTAATAGTTCAATCGGTAATTAGTCCTGAGTCCTAGTTTCTTAAATCTCTATTCAACAATTGAAGATTGAAAATACAAAATACTGATTGTTCTAGCTGTATGTTGATACATGCATGCTGTGCGTTCCTTTCCCCCCTTAGCTTAGGCAAGGAACCCTCAACCTATCACTGACTGCGGCTGTAATCAACGGATTTACCAGTGACATTATATTTCCCGGCAAAAGTGGGAAGGTTGACTTCGGGGCATTGCTCTATAGGGGTTGGCCTAAACATGTTGCTGTTGGGTGCGATAGTTCGATCTTAGTGCACGATTTGTCGATAATTCCGTAACCAGCTAGTCCTCTGTTTCATCGAATTCACGGTTGTGAAAGGCTGTTTCAAAAAGGGATGTAACGTTGGAGGTTTCATGCAGAATCGACCAATCGCGCAGAGCATTCGGCCGATCATGCAGATAGGCCGATCATGCCAACATATACATACCTGTGACTTCACACCCTTCATCAACAATTTTCACTTGAAGCTATTGGCAATACAAGTGCAACTACCATGAAGTTATGTGACCCAATACGGGCGTTTCACAACAGTACCTCCAAGGGTCTGCAACGATTTGGTCAATCTCAATGCGCGAAATCTGTCGTCCCAATGCGTGTTTGAAAAGGGTCGACAGATTTCGCGCATTGTGATTGACCAAGACGCTGCAAACTCGTGTAGGCGCGCTATTGCAAATCGCCTGTATTGCTAACAGTACGCAGTAGTCGTTTTTTAAATGGGCATGTGGCAACTTATCGTTTCAAGATATGTGGGGTTCGGAACATATAATGCGTCTCTTGCTTAAAGTATTGCGGGGAAAACCTAAGGGGGCTCGCTGGGGGGGGTGTTCCACCCTTATCCTCTAAATTCCAATGAGGTATTCCACGTTAGACAAGCCTAGTAGTGTCATACCTATTGCTGAACATCTTAACATGTACTCTGGAGTGGCATCTTTTCAATTTTCGATTGTTTTCCGGCGTTTCAGCACTGAACGGTTAGTCAGCATTAACGATGACGTTTAGGGACGTGTATTCTTTCCTTCTGGGCCAACACAGCTGCAACAGCCTGTAGAAAAGAGTGACAAGAGGCAAACATTCCATTGAAGGTACGTTACACGATTTTGTGAATACCTGTTTAACAGCCCATAATAATGGGAAACTGCATGACGGGTACAGTTTTAATCGACCTAAGCGGGGCCTTTGGCTCTGTGGATCACGAGGTTTCGCTCAAGAAATTGAGTTCCTTTGTATCTGTAAATTGTATCATCATGTAACTGGTTTGAGTCTTACCTACGCAATCAATCGCAGTCTGTGAACTTTTATGGGAGGGCTTTCGAACTCTATGCCGGTTAAAACCGGCGTACCCCAGGGCTCAATCCTAGAACTGCTGCTTGTTTCTGATTTATACTGCTGACTTGCCACATTTTATTCCTGATAGTTGTAAAACTATGCAGCTGATTCGAAAAGCAAGGCTGGAATTGAAAGCAACCTTAATATTGTCCTAGCTACTGTACATGAATGGTCAATAAAAATAAGTTGACAATGAGGGTTGCATATTTAGATAAAATAGTCTTAACGGCTATTCAACTACCCAGGTTCGTTCTTTCAAATATCCATGCATCATAATCGACAATGGTCTTTAATGGAAATCATAAGTCAAGTCAGTTGTGAAGTCTCCGGAAAATTGGGAATGCTTAAACGAATTCGTGCATGCGTTCTTAAGCAGACACTATATGCAATCTCCTTATTGTTTATTCTACCTATTATAGACTACTTTTGAAGTGTATTATAGGGAAGCAGACTTCACAGTCTTAAAAAGGCCGTCTTAATATATAATTGTTTACACTCGATGTGCCCAGGTTATGTGGAGAACTATTTTAAGTTGTTTGGGGATCGGCAAACAAGACAAGGCGCAAATATAATATTAAAAATTCCATGTAAAAAAAGGAGTACAAGGCTTCAAGCTTTCCAATAAGCAATGCCCTTATCTGGAATAAATTGCCAGTAGGCCTAAGTCTTAAGACCGCCTCGTCATTATCGATTTTTAAATCTCACGTCAGGCAACACTTCTTAAACTTTTCATTTTCTGACTTATTTTCACATTATCTTTGGTCCTGATGCTCCATTTTAAATATATAATTACACTTTATCTTTTCATTGCTCATAGTTTTCAATTCTTTTTAGTTTTATGCGTTACTCTGAAAATTTGTGTGTCTCTTGTATGTGTAATGTTCTTAACCTTTGTTTTATTTGTACTTCTTTTAATACCCTAATACATCTGAATACTTTTTTGTCACATTTATATTTATTTTTCTAATGACATAGTGCTGCAGTGAAAACCAGCTTCAGCTGTTTCAGCTACCATGCATAGATATTGTGAATAATAATAATATTAAAACATATGAGCCGATTAGTGCACACCACTTTATGATCCTCTCCATCTGCTTCTTACTTGTTTCAATGTTTTGAGAGTCAGTTGGGAATCGTTTTAGTAGGACACTTTCCTCGTCGTTGCTGGCGGATTAATGCAGCACGCTGTTTGATGAGGTTGATGCCCCTGGAGCTCAGCCGGCGCGTGTCTATTCACCCTTGCAGACATCAACAGGAATCAGATGCCAAGTGAAATAGGCTTATACCAGGTTATTTTAGGAAAAAACAGAAAGAAGAGGATCTTTTGCTCATTGCTATTGGCCCTTACAATTAAAAGAGGTTGGGTAACAATAAAACCTACTTACAGAGTAATACCAGCGGGGATCAGGGTGGCACCCGAATACACGAAGAAAGTTAATGGAGGTACAAACGACACAGAGGCTGCATAAATGCTGTTCGCCAACAGTCCGGATGCAAACGTGAGACTCTCCAGGCACCCGACTATTGAAAACATTGCACCTGTACGGAAGAAAGCAATAAAAATCTCACTTTTAGTTAGTAACTTAAATTTTGAATGGTAACAACGGAAGTCTTCACACTGAAGTTTCGGGTCGAGATCTCTTGTTCATACTTGCTTGTACGAGGAGGGTCACCGAAACACAGTTCCGTTTTAAGTGCGTTGAGTGTTCAGTTAAGAATAAGATGCTGTTGTGATTTTTTAGAGTCTAGAGGTGTAAATTGGCATTTTTACACCCTCTGTCTTCTTGACACGCAGAATCTAATTCCATTTAGGCCGAGGATAGGTACCAGTGCATATACATGTATTTGTTTTTTGAAAGGGGCTAAGATGGGTTTCCTTGAAACTTTTCGTGTTTTTTTCCACTTGTATATATAGAAACATGACGTCCGACGGAAGCTGTCAGAGAAATTTCAAAATGATGAAGTCTTGACTTTTTATCGAATTCTTACATCCAATTCTGAGCCGTATTCCGTGGAAAACTGTGCCTTGTAAATTGTCAATTCATGTTCACCAATGGGATTAGACGTGTTACTCCATGTATTGAGAAATTATCCCAGCACACCATTTTCCGTTGGAGTTTTGATGCACGTTACGAACGGTTCAGTGCCATTTGCGTGTTTTAGATATCAACAGCATAAGTTTTCTTTGCAGTGCACTGCATTCATATTGTTAAAAGTCATTAATAATAGGTCATGAATAATGACATATTGATTACTTAATTTAACTGATTGCACCTGATATTTACCTATGTCATCTGGATGCGTGATTTTAGAGAGAACTGACCGTGCAACGGGAATGGACATTCCCCTAAGAAAACCAACAGCAGTTCCTGCGGAAATGGCAAAAATTATGCGTGAAAGCGATATCAATCGCCGTGCAAATTTTGTGTCAAACTTCAGCAACTAATTCGGGTTTTATATAAATTTATTGTTTATTCCTGGGCAATTTTTTTAAATTAACAGCAATGATAGACGGACATGAGGATTACCCCATGATAAAGTTAGGGTGTGGGTGAATTTGTTTTTAAACTCAATCATAACCACTGAAAGGCAATAGAGCCCTGATTGAAATGCAGTCTGCGATTGGAAAATCAGGAAATGTGAGCCCTTCGAAAAAATCCGAAACAAAAGGAAAACGAGAATTCCACGATTGCAGGTGTATCGTACAACAAGAAGGCGTGTCAACATCCTCCCACGTCTGATGACTAACCGAGGAAGATGACCAGTGTGGACCTGGCTAATCCAATGGTAAGGTAGGAAATCACGGTACTCAGACAGCTGATCTGCATCAACCAGTAGTCTCCGAGACAAAATGAGAAGACTTTGGTGCCAACCAGCATTCCTGGGCACAAATACAGCACGGAATGAGAGTAATGGAAATGTGGTACAGTGATGTGAAAAATAAAAAAGGGATATTAGACTTTCGTCCATCTAGAAATTCTGGCCATTCTCCTCTGACTATGGCCCCGTTTCTCTGGGTACCTAGCACAATACATGTATATACGTGCATGGAGTTTGTGGACCATGCAACATGGTCAGCCAAACGCGTTTGTAAAAGGAAGATTAAATTGACTAAATCTGACCTTAATTTTTTCAATCATGTTATAGTAGTTTTTAATCATGTTGTAGTTTTGAAAAGATGCACTTACCAAGTGATGAAGCCACCCAACCAATAGCCAAGCCAATCCCAGCGATGGTTGACGTCCAACAGAAGGGTTGTGCAGAACCGTACAAGACATAAATGGCAGAGATACCTTGGAATTGACAGACGCAGAAGAAGATGAAGAAATCTAAAAAGAGCATCTGCCAGCGGCGGCCATTTTCATTGAACTCCAGGAGCCTCTTCATGCTCCTCCAAGCTTCAAAAAACTCTTTGCGGTCAAATCCACGGTTGTCAACTGTTTCTATCAGAAACGGTGGGAGTATGATATAGAGAAACGCGGCGGAATTACACCCAAACGCAATGGCTAGAGATGGTAGGTAACTTATTTTTATGAGATAACCTTGTGCCACTTGATTCAATCCCCCAACAAGAAACGTCAGCATCTCGGCGATAACGATTCGCATGGTTCGCTGCCTCTCCGTGGTGGCGTCGGCCAGGTACGAGATGCAGGCAGCGAACAGTAGGCCAAACCCTCCCGCCAGGCCTTGGACGAACTCGCCCGCCAAGAGGGTTGCAAGGGGGAGCTTGAAGTGAACTGTGACACCGTACACTGCTGCCTGGATGGCGAAGCCAATGGCCGGAAGAGCCATAGCCAGTTTTCTGCCGAGTCTGTCGCTGACGGTACAGAAGACGGTCGAGCTCAGCATGGCGGGGACCCCTGAGGCGGCGCCGAGATACAGTAGCCACATTGAAGATTCCGACTGTATCTGGTCTTCCAGCGAGCCATTGCCAGAGTGGGCAACCGTGCATTTATTGGTGTTGCTCGGCTCGGTGTAATTGTAAGACTGGCTGAGCATATCTTTCACGAAGAGCGGCTTGACGAGGGCAATGCAGGTGTAGCCCATCATTGTCAGTATGATGATGGGTTCCACAGTAATCCATCTTGACTGAGCCCGCTCTCGATCTGTTTGTCTTGTCACAGGATTAAGCGTGGCTTTGGCCTCCTGAATTTGGGTCATGTTGCTTCAGACGACTTGACTCCTGGAAGGCGGCATCAAAGTGGACGGAAAGGGAACAATTATTGTACAGATGTTGTTTGAATGATTATTGTCTGGACTGCAAAAGACTCCACAAGACCATGACCACTAAGAGACAGAGCAGGACAAAGAAAAACACACAAACAACCCTTGTTTTTCAAAGAAAAAAATTAAGTACCTTTTTTCAGATTGAAGCTGGAATCCAATCTATACTGTTGAATGGATTTTATTCTATCTTCTTTTACTCCGGTTTCAATCAGGCGTATTTTTACTCTTTAGCCTGAAATACATGTACAAAGGAGTACGTAAGAAAGAAGTACGAAATACAAAAAATCCACTATCTGTCCTTAGTTCTGACATACTAAAGAAGGGGTAGGCCTATATGGGGGAAAAGTAACGACTATATGTAATGGGATATGATGCAGAATTTACCAGTTTCAAAAGATGACACTCTTTGGTTAGTATGGCAGCACTAGGCCTCATAGCTCGCAGCAGATGGTACCAACATGCCGTGAGTAGGAACTAAATACAGAATGAACAAGCACATTATGTTTTATGACAATACATAATCACTAGTTTAATCGTATTGTGAATTAATCCTATTGTGAATTCGGTCCACGTGACTTCGTCTCGTGATGTTCTTTGCGATCGTATTAGACTATGGACTCGAGTTTAGTTGTTATGACTGTACGTATAATGCGTCAACTAACCAGACAAACCGAGTTAGGCTACCAGTAGCCGGTTATTAAAGCTAAATTATTTAAGTATTGTTGCGCACCCGCAAATCTTGGAATTCTAACGCCCCCTAGTTTTACTTGTTCTCGGTCCTTGCATTTCTCAGGGTCTCTTATTTAGCTCAGCTATGCCTTATGGACATGTAGCAGAGACGCTAATTTTGTATTAAGTACTCTGGCATGATCGCGTGTTCCTTCACTCCTTTATCCTTGTGTTTTCTCTGCTCAGTTTTGGCATGTCAAAATTCCCCTCCATGTGGCTGCGTGGTTGGGCGTGGTAGGCC